TTTTGGGTGCACTGACTTAAACTGCACTTAGAAGGCTGTAACTATGGTTAGGGTTGCGCTGCTGCTAAAACAGGGAAAGTTGCCCAATTTGGTTCCCATCCCCTCTGTACCTAGTGCTTCATCTAAAACAGATCCCTGGTATTGTTAGTCTAACCGCTACCATGCCCCCCCCCCCACTCCTGTCAGCCTTTCAAGGGAACTGTGTGTTCTGTTTGATGATAGAGAGACATTTGATTAACCGCTGTTTTTTTATAGTCACAATGGAGGCTGCCACGGTTTCACCTTCTTCTTCCCAGGAGGTCAAAGGTTACATTTTAGACCATCTCCGGCAACCATTCAAGTTTGCAGAAGGTTCTACGTAGGGGGCAGACAGGATGCAGAAGCATCTCCCCCTCCCTCGTTAAATATTCAGCCGGATGTTCTCCAACTGTGCCATGGAAGGCTGACTGGGTGACCATGGGACGGTCGCTCTCTCCTGACTCGGCCTACCTCGCAGGGCTGTTGTGAGGATAAAATGCAGAAGGGCCCTTGAAGACAGGGTGGGATAAAAACCTGGGAGATGTACAAAGCGTCCTTCTGCCTCTGCAGTGGCCTCCGATCCCAACAACCACAACAGGTGAGCCACAGTTGGAGGCTTCCACTTTAGAAAGACTGAAAAAAATATTTAATGCAAGAGAAAGCTCTTGTGGTCTAGAATTTGCATCTTCAGATGAAATATGTGGGTCCTCCCTATAAAACCTTTTAACGCAAGGGGTATAAGAAACTGCAGGGCCACAGAATGCAGCAAGTAAAGAGTCCTGTGTAGTGAGGATCTACTCACAGCCAGTGTTCCCTCTAAGCTAAGTTAGTGTGAGCCAGCTCACAGTTTCTTAGCCTCCAGCTCACACATTTTTGTCTTCGCTCAGGAAGGGTGGGGCTCCAGAGCAAACTCATTTATGCAGCAGCCAAATCGCTCGCTCACAACTTTAATGCCAGTAGTCCACAAAGTAGAATTTTTGCTCACAGGATTCCACAGCTTATAGGGAGCATTGCTCACAGCCTCCAACAAAGTGGGCTTGAGTCTACTGTTTGCCAACCTGTGGATCAGGAGCCAACAGTGGGTCACAAAGCCTCTGCAACTGGGTCCCCGGCCAGCCCTCCCAAGCAATGCTCCCTCTAAGCTATGGAGTCTTGTCAGCAGAAATTCTACTTTGTGAGCTCCTGGCATTCAAGCTGTGAGTGAACGATTTGGCTACTGCATAAATTAGTTTGCTGTGGAGCCCCATCCTTCCTGAGCGGAGACGAAAATCTGTGAGCCGGAGGCTAAAAAATTGTGAGCTGGCTCACACTAACACAGCTTAGAGGGAACACTGCTCCTGAATGTCCACCCCCGCCCTGTCCGATGCTCACCTTCTCTGTTCACCGCTGATACATCCGGATCTAGCAAACCGTGCCCTGATGGTGACTAGAGTGAGTTGCTGAGAGGTCTTAGGGGGAACTAGAGGGAGTCATGGAGGAGGAGGAGGAGGAGGAGGAGGTCAAAGTCTCGGATGCAACCTCCCCGTGCAAAGGGGAGAATGGAATGCCCCGGGGCTTGGGGTTCAGAGTGGGGGCAGCCGCACCCTTTGCGTGATGCTCGCAGGTTTCTCAAAACCGTCTGGGCAGCCACTGTAGAAACTGCAACGCTGACCTAGGTGGGTGCCGAGGTCCTAGTTTGCCTAGCCCCCCCCCCAAAAAAAAACCCTCCACCTTGGGCCAGCCTTGGATGGGTCACCATACCAAGCAAATGAGCTATTTTTGGGCAGGAATGAACAGGAACGGAGTTCCGGCTGGCTCCCGAGTTGGCGACCCCCCGCAGGAACTCATTAGCATAAGAGGCCACACCCAGCAGCAGAAACTCATTAGGATTGGCTACATTAGGGGTGTGTGGCCTAACATGCAAAGGAGTTCCTGCTACAAAAAAAGCCCTGGACCGTTTTGACAACAAACAAGGTAAACAGAATAAGAAGCAAAAGGTGGGTGTGGCTGGATGACCACACTTCTGGTAACATGGGGGTGTGGCCTAATATGCTAATAGACTGTGTTGTCAAGGGTGTGGCCTAATATGCTAATGAGTTCCTGCTGGGCTTTTTCTACAAAAAAAGCCCTAGGGATCACCCTGTTGAAAAAGTTGGCAACCGCTGCATCCAGTCCACAGAAGCACAGGGTGGAATCAGACGTTGTCAGTCTGAAGGTATAAAGTGTTGCGAGACTCTTCTACCCTTTTTGCTGCAAGGAGGGTCACAGTGCAGTCCTAAACGGAGTTAGCAGTGCCTAAGCCCATTGCCTTCAATGGATTCCGAAGGGTCTCAGTTTCTGCTGAGGACGGCACTGTGTCGTGTCGCACTTGCCCCTCTGGAATGATTGCCTGGAAAACATCTCTTCTCCCAGTAGCTAAGGAAGTGGCCACGGTTGGGCTGCAGTCCTCCTCCTAGACAGCCCGGGGAAGGGAGACAGGCCCGGGCTGGCAGAGCTCCTTCGACTTGTCGCCCAGCAAAACAAACAGTCTGGTTTTCAAAGGAAAAGCGGTTTGACTTCTTAGCCGGATGAGTAGATGGGACGAGAACCTTCCAAGTAGCTCTTCTTGCTCCGTTTCTCTGTTGCGTGGCCTGAGGCCAAAACCACTGGAGCGACTTAAAACATGTTCTGCATCATTCAGGAAGAACTCCCAGGGTTTAGTTAATATGCATTGCCATCATTCATCATTTGTAACAATGTTCCCTTCTAAGCTGTGGAGTCTGGTGAGCAAAAATTCTACTTTGTGAGCAACTGGCATTAAAGTGGTGAGCAAGCTGTTTGGCTACTGCATACATTAGTTCGCTTTGGAGCCATCCTTCCTGAGCTAAGACCAAAATGTGTGAGCCGGAGGCTAAAAAACTGTGAGCTAGCTCACACTCACTCAGCTTAGAGGGAACACTGAATTTTGTAATATTCCTATTTTAATTGTTTCCACATGCTCTCCACACAGTACGGGCGAAAACATTCCTCCACCTGCTTATTCCTGATCTTTATTCTTTGTTCCCTGCAACTAGAGTGCTCTTTCCACCTTGTCCTTCCCAGCCTGGGTCCCTGGCCTTCGAATGAAACTGACACACTTGGGGAAAGGCAGTTTTACTTAGGAATGGAGGGGGGGGCAGTAAAGGAAATCCTGTCAATTTCACCAGTCAGCCGAGGGGGGGGAAAAAAGGAAGTGCAGGGATTCTAGAGATATGGAGTAAGGATTCCTCCCATCTTGTCAATTGCAGCATCCTGTAGAAGAAATGAAAGGAAGTTGCCCTGATGAAACTGACAAAGTGCACCTACTGTTCTTCAGTACAGGGCAGAGAGATTAACCTGGAAAAAAACCATCCCCAAACGTGTCCAACACCATGGAAAAAATGGTGTGGAAGACTTCAAACAAAGCACACTGCCCTACTCTGCTTTCCACGAAACGGAGGAGGCTTGTCCTACCTGTGTTACCTGAAGTGCATTTTAGCCAGAGGTTTGAAATGCAATTCGAGAACCATATTCCTGCAGGGCCATAAATTGATTTAAAAATCTATATA